AGGCTATGGATCGCACCTTATTCGGAACTTTCTCTAGAAGGAGATGGAGCATTTTGTAAACCATGCGGCAAATCGGTAAGTTTTATTTTTTTTTTTCTTTTTTTCTCGTCCCACAACATAACTAAATTCTAAAGCGGTTTTAGAATTCTAATTATTTTTTTTTAATTCTCAGATTTCAAGTAGAAAAAAGTACTTTATTGACCAGCATTGTGGAACCCCACTTCATAAACGTAATTTGGAAAAATTAAATTCCTCTAAGTTAGCCCAAACATCTCTGCGGGATAGTTTAAGCAGTTCAAAAAAAAAGGAGGAAGACGCATTTAAATTTGATTTATGCCAGATGATGATTGCATCCAACATTCCTCTATATAAAGTTAATAACCCTAGTTTTAAACGCTTTTTTGAAAAATATCTTAATAAATCCTTACCGGACGAGAGTACATTGAGAAAACATACTGTGGAAAAATGTTATGTGGAATGTATTTCAAAAATTAAGCACGAGTTGGAGGGCAATTTTTTGTATATTATCGTGGATGAAACGACAGATGTATGCGGCAGGTATATAGCTAATTTAATGATTGGAATTTTGAACGAAAACTTTGCGAGAAAACCTTATTTAGTTGCCGTTAAAGAATTGGAAAAAACAAACAATTTAACAATAAGTCGATTTATACAAGATAGTTTAACAAACCTCTTTTTACCCAACGCTATACCAGTGAATAAAATAGTTTTAATGCTTTCAGATGCTGCGGCATATATGTTAAAAGCTGCTGTTAATTTAAAAATTTTTTATCCTAATTTAATTCATTGCACTTGTGTAGCCCACGGGGTAAATAGAATTGCTGAAGAAATAAGAAATCTGTTTCCGTTGGTAAATAATTTTATAAATTTTATGAAAAAAGTTTTTGTAAAGGCTCCGTTGAGGGTGCAAATATATAAAGAAAGACTTCCCGGTGTCCCTTTGCCACCTAAACCAGTAATTACAAGGTGGGGAACCTGGCTCGAAGCAGTCTTTTTTTACTTTGAACACTGCAATGAAATAGAATTAGTTATGTCAGAATTTGATGATGATATTTCCGAAGCCATTCGAGAAGCAAAAAAAATATTAAAAAATCCCAAATTGAAACAGGAACTCGGTTATATCAATGACAATTATAAATTAATAGTTACCACAATTACCTTATTAGAAAAACAAGAGATAAATTTATGTGAGTCAGTAAAATTAATAGATAATTTAAAGACGAAAATTAAATCGGCACCTGGAAGTAACGGTCAATTAATTTTTAAAAAAATGAAATATGTTTTCGACAAGAATGAAGGTTTTTCGTTTTTATCTAATGTTGCTAAAGTTTTGAATGGGACATTTTCCGAGGAATTTCAAATTATGCCAGATTTATTATCCGCTCTGAAATATGCTCCAATTACATCTGTCGATGTCGAACGTTCGTTTTCAATGTACAAATTAATTTTAAGTGATCGAAGACATAGTTTTAAGACCGAAAATATTGAAAAACATTTAGTTGTTTCTATTAATGATAAAATTTTAAGTGGTTACAATGTTTAATTATTAATTAACAGTTATTTAGTTACTAGTTTATTTATACTAATGTTATGATTATGATGTGTAAATATACTTGCCTTAAGTTAATATTACGTTAATTTACTTTGTACAATAAATAATAAGTTATATTCCTTTATTGCCTATATTTTGCCTAAATGTTAATATTCCTGCCTTTTTTAATAAAAATCTTTGCCTATATAGGCGCCTTTTTCTTCAATTTTTGTTGCCTATAAATCCGAGCTTTACTGAGTACACATAACATTTAAAGAGCCTTATTTTTGTTTTCAGGGTGAGGTCATAGCTTTTGAACACAGAGCTCATAGCCAAGAATGCACTTTTGGCGAACTAGTGCGACAGAAAAACAATACACGAGTAGTCCTTGCATCTCTTTTTAATGGCCGGGGTTTATGGACCACGTGACCTTCCCACTGGAAATTGTTGAGTAATAGGAGGGTCACATGGTCGATAAACTTTGATCATAAGAAAGAAATGCCAGAACTGCTCGTATCTTTTTTCTCTGTCGCACTAGGGAAACCGGTTTAGATTGCATTGCGCTGTCAAGATATTATATGTCTAAAGTTAGAGATATTCAGTAATGGAATCAGACAGCTACATTACAATTAAAGATCAGACGTCCGAAGAGGTTCTTATTATGAGAGAAGTTTGTCGGAGATGTGTGCTCTCTCCACTTTTGTTTATTGCACAAAAGATTTTTGGAGAAGCTCTTAAAGGCAGAGGGGAAGGTATAATTGCCAACGTGGCACAGTTTTGCCAGTAACGGAAAAAGATGATTTACAGATACTTATGTAAGCGGTAACAGACCATAATTAATAAATGAGTATGAAACTTAATACAAAGAAATCCAAATGGATAGTCATCAGCAAAAAAAGTATCGATGAAAACCTAAATGACATCGTGATAGCTGGAGAAAGACTGAAGAGGATGCTACGCAGGGTACAAAGTGTTAAGAATTCGTTTAAGCATGTGGTTAAGCATTAAGTTGTTTGGCTTAAGCATTCTGATGTACGAAATGAAAGCATGGGTCTCACTGACACAATGTGTGAAAGAGTTGAGACTTTTGAGATGTGGAAAGACCACCAAATTTGGGAATAATCTGAATAAAAGTGACGAATTAAGCAGATTACATATAACTACTGAGGGACAATAGAAAGTCTTAGACAACGAAGAATATCCTGGCTTAAAAACCTCTGCCAGTAATATGAAGTTAGCACTTTGACAATATTTAGTTCAGCTGCGGACAAAGTAAAGGTCATGCGACTGGGTGCCAATGTTCTTGTAAGGATAAAGCCTTTAAAGATGAAGAAATATTTCTGAACATGTGTGAACTATGTGTGAACATTCTGTTTGAACATGTTATGAGATTCTACACAAAAAAATATAAAGAGACCATTACTCAAAGAGAGACCAAGACCCAAGATCACTAGGCAGATCCCCAACAAGATGGATTGACCAAATATTAGATAAAACTACAAAAGATCAGTGGACAAATTAAGTAAATTGACTAGACACAGACGTCTATGGAGACGAACCATACAGGATGTTCATACCACCAATACACTGGTTTTGTGGGATTAGGACGTAAGAGGGATTAGAAACATGCTTTATTGTCACTGGAAATTATTGAACAATTTGATGGACATTAAGATTATTTGTTTTCAATCTTGTCATTTTCTACCAAGTAATCAGATTACTTGACTTGACCATTAATTTCTAAATATTTTCTATTTTATAATAGAACATAAATAGAAATATAAATGGTTGGGGGTATCTTTAATAAACAGAGGATCAGATGAAACGATATAAGAAATCAAATAAAGAAAGAAAAGACAATAATAAGAAAATTGCACTTGATTATATGAAGTGACCATATTACAAGAAAACTAAACCCCAAATCTTTAAGACAATAGTGGAAAACTGTTCGCTGTGTTGCCCAGAGACATGGGTGATTAACAAAGCAATGAAAAACAGAATAAATGTAATGGAAATTATGTTTTGGAAAGGAAGTTGTAGATTAATACTAATGAATAAAGTGAGGAATGAACGAATTACAGAGCTACTAAATGTAAAGGAGACACAAAAAACAAAATATAGAATTGAAAATTACTCTGGTATCTACATATTCGATAGACTACTAAGTTCTTGGAAATGAAAACCAAATAAGAGGAGGAAAAGAGAACGTCCTAGATATCAGTGGAGCGGAAAATAAAAACAACAATGGAAAAAGAGACCTCACTGAAACGTAATTTTGTCCATTACATTTATTTCTATTTAATTTCATTTTTTTTACCTTTTCGTTGTTTAACGTATACTAAATCCCATAAAAATTTGGTAATTTCAGAAAAATTTAAAGGACGGTCCTGTCGACAAACTTGACAGAAACTTAAAGAATCTTCGTATTTAGTCCTCTCCATCCAGTAGTGGCTAGTTTTTTGTCGGTGTCCCGGGTGACATACCTTCAGCTGTGGAATTTTGAGATAAGGGGTTAACGTATGGCCACGACAACGAGTATAGATAACACCGATGGAGATGATCACCGGTTCTCACGCTCACAACTCACCTCTTATTCCTGGTTCGTCATTTTTGAAATTGCCTCTTTTTCGCAATTAAGATCGAGATAATGGTAAATCTCGAACGGTGTGTCTCTTAAAACTGTCGCACTTTGAGTACGCAACTTAATTTTTAAAAGGTGGTATGTCATTTTCTCTGTTTCGATCTTTATTATCGAAAGCACCTGGCGGTAGCCACAGACTTTATATTTAACGATCAAATTTTTATTTTTTAGTCAAAACACGATATGCGCGAAAATATTTGCAGGTAATACAATATTGCTTTTTGCTCTATAAATTATTGTATGTACAGTTATACTTTATTACTATGATATATTTTATAGCAAAGTTAGGAAATATTTCAGTGGCAAGAGATGAAAATGTTACTGAACCTCTAAAAATCATACTTACAACCAGTTTTTTGCAAGAATGTTAATTTTGAGACCGCACAAAGGAAACAAGAAAGTAAGAATCTATAAATTTTGAACAAAAATGTTTATTAGCACTTTTTCTTTAGAATGAAATGAACCATTCTATCAGAAACAACGCTTTGAAGCGACCAGCGGTTTAGTATTTTAGCAACGCGCGTGAAATCAATTTTGTAAATACAATTTGTATCAACTCAACGGTAAAAATTCTTAAAATCTTGAAATCTTGTAGCTTTCGTAACCAATTTTTGCAATTTGCCGCAAATACGTCCGCACTTCCATTAACCGGTACTATGGAATTTCCATTGTTAGAGCTTCTTCAAAAAATATATCATGAAATTTCTAACGTTCTAAGAGAATTTTTTCAATTCTTATCTTTAATTTATTATACCGCTCAATTTTCTTCTGTGCTCTTGCTAAATGTAACACTATTCCATCAAACTCTTAACTAGTATATTCTTCAATAGCTGCATGAGTCGATTTTGCCTCTCTGTAAGCCACAACTCCAAATCCTTTAGATGATCCATCCATATGTCTCATCACCACACAACTTGTGATTTCAGCAAACTTATTAAATACGGTAACAAATGTATCATCAGATATAGTTGGACCAAAATTTTTGACATATATTAGTAAATTGCTTGGCATGTTCACCAAGCTCTCTCTCTCTCTCTCTCTCTGTCTCTCTCTCTCTTTCTATTCTAGGAATAAATTTTCCAGCAAACACCTTTTTACCATTGAGTAACATAACATTAACTTTTTCTATAGCCTTCTTTGTATCCTGTTAATTTTCAAAATGCACAAACCCATAACCTTTTGAGTGACCATTATTATCTATTGCAAATATATAACTAAACCTATACCTTTACAGCTGAGGATATCTTCAAATGCAGAAAACCATGAACTTTAATTTGCTAAAAGGTAATCCTATTCGTATAATGTGGTGTTATCGTGATCCTTCCCTAAGAAAATCTGGAATTGGCAACGTATTTATTAAAAACATAGATAGAAGTATTAATAATGAAGCCATGTTTGATAAATTTTCTATATTTGGAAATATTCTCAGTCCCCCCCCCCCTTCTAAGTGTGGGGCTTTATTGAGAATTCCGGAAACGAGTGGCAAAATTTTTGTGCATCTTTTTTTGGGTCAAAAAATTGAAATTCTCAGCAAAATTCAGTTGGTCTGTATGATTTTTAGAAGTCTCTGACGACTGGAATAAAACTAAAGTTCAATAACTTTAATCTATATTTAAATAATTATTACTTTTTTAATTACTGTTGTCAGGCTACTATATCTTGTTAAATCGTCACAATATAGGTATAAACAGGTAATAAAATTAAACTAGGAGACGATAGAGAAAATGTCTTTCTTGGAGAAATTAAGATGATAGGCAATATCGATAAAGCAACGTCAGGAAAGAATTTAGAAGAGGTATCATAGTATTATAGGAAGGAGAACATGGCGTCGCGAGTCATCTATTGTTTAAAGTTATAAACAGTTAGAAACAATTAGCAATTATCATATCCATTGATATGGTTTACACATTTCGTCAGAAGATATACGGCTTCGAATAATACGAAATTTGTAAAAAATGTCTTTCTTTGAGAAATTAACCGATTTCAACAAAGCATTAAAAAAGGTAACATGATATTATCGGAAAACGTGGGGTCGTAATGGCCAGTGGCAATGGCAATGGGTTGGACACGTTGCCCGAGATAATCCCGAAAAATGGACACAAAGATTAACAAACTGGAGACCAAGAGAGAACAGGCGAGGAGTAGGCAGACCGCAGAAGAGGTGGACAGACGATATCAAACAAGTCGCGGGCAAGCAGTGGATGAGAATTGCCAAAAGTAGAAATCGATGGAAGCAAATGGAAGAGGCCTATGTCCAGCAGTGGACGAACACAGGCTGAAGAAGAAGAAGAAGAAGTGGGTCGTAAAGATTCCATAATTTATAGCTATAAGCCGTTTAAAACAATTAAAGCTATTATCATATAAATGGTATTAAGTTTAAATTGATGTTTACAGAGAGAAATTTGGATAAAACAAACAGACATTCTGAAGTCGCTAAGGTAGTTAAAGAAAAAAGAACTTCTTAGGTTGCCTGCCCATTCCGAACTTTGGCGATCATTCCGGCTATGATGACTTTGTGGTTGCTATACGAAATAGCTGTGTTGAGGTCTTTCTACACCATGCTCTCAGGTTAGCAAGCCAGGATATTCTTCTTCGTCCTGGGGCCCTTTTTCTTTCAATTTTACCTTACAAAATGTATTGAAGTAGCTCGTATCTGCCTTGATTTTTCATTATATGTCCCAAGTACTGCAGCTTACGGCCCTTCACGATGTTGACCAAATCCGCGATTGTGTTCATCCTCCACAGTACTTCTTCATTGGTGACTTTGTCTGTCCATGGTATTTTCAGATTCCTCCTGTATAGCCACAGCTCAAAAGCCTAAAGTTTTGATGAGTTTTGGCCTTCAATGTCCACGTTTCTACTCCGTACAGAAGCACAGAGTACACATAACATTTAAGGAGCCTTATTTTTGTTTCTAGGGTGGGGCCATGGCTTTTGACACAGAGCTCATAGTCAAGAATGCACCTTTTGCCTTTCCGATGCAACATTTTATCTCTTGGGTATTGTCCCACGACTCATTGATTATAGTTCCTAAGTAGTTGTATTGTGGGACACATTCAATTCTCATTTGGTTCACATACAGATTTGCTCCAGTTATGTTTTCCTTGCTGGTCATCATTAGCTCATTATAGAACTCTTTGAATTAATTAAAAAACGCAAGATTGGTTACCTTGGGCATATATTGAGAGGAGCAAAATAAGAAATACCACAGTTAATCCTACAAGGGAAGATCGAAGGTAGGAGAGAAGCCGGCCGCAAACAATTATCCTGGTTAAGGAATATTAAAGAATGGACAGGAATACACAATACAGGTAAGCTGTGTCACGCCGCCAAGAACAGAATTCTAGTAATGAGATAGTCGCCTACGCACTTTGGTGTATGGCATATTAAGAAGAAGAAGATCATTAGCTTGGTTTGGTTGGTGTTTATATCCAGTCTATATTTTCTACTTGTTTCCGTTATTTTGTTTATTAAGTTTTGCTATGTATTCTATGGTATTTTGTTTTTGGGCAATGATACGAACTCCTATTTGAGCCACTCTACTGGTATTTTTTCTGCCTTGCATATTTCATTAAATATTGCAGTTATTATTATTATTTATTCTGCATCTAATAGGTTCAACAGTTCTTCAGAAATTTCATCAAGTCCAGGTGCCTTTCCATCCTTCATTTGTCTGACGGCTGCTGTTAGTTCTTCTGGTAGGATTTCGGGACCTGAATTTTTTTCAATGGTGGGCTCTTGTATTGTTCTAAGGTCATGGAAAAGTTTCTCCAAGTATTCTTCTCATACTTTCTTTTTATCTTCTTTGGTTATGGCAAGCTTGCTTACATCATCTCTTATTTTTCCGCTGTTGCGTTTTCAGAACTTTCCAGCTATTTCCTTCACCTTTCGATGAACATTGAAGTTGTTATATCGAAAAAAGAACAATATAAATATATCGTAAAGAAAAACAATATAAGAAAAATGTTTTCCAATATTTTATAGAACAGAAAAAGGGGATGGGGAATGAACTCATAGGTTAAAGTGAAAATATATGCGTTTTGTGCTGTCTCGTCTAGTACAATTACACAAAGTATTATAGTAAATTAAGATCTAGTTTGCTAGATTATGTAAAAATTATACCTTACAATTAAGGTACAGAGATTTTCGATACTATACGATATTATTTTTATATACGATTAAAAAGTGATGTGTCATAGAATTAAAAAATGACCTAATTGGAAGCTATAAGTAGTCCAAAGAAGATTACATGTGAAACACTTCAATTTTTATCACTAATATTTGATCACTTTGTTCATATATAATAACAATTATTTACTCGACTGGAGAGTATTTATTTTAAAACTTTATTTATATTTAGTGTAGTTTTATTAATTAACACCTAAAATAAAATAAAATAACACCTCTACGAAAAAGTTCGTCTTGTGCACACATTTCATACACTTCTGGCATCCCTCATTGATTTCTTCAGTTGCTAGTTTGTTCAAAATGACGACATTTTCATCATAATGCCGTTGACTCTAACTTAAACAACAGCACTATGGTTAAAATGTCAACAATTTAAACAGTATAAGAACGCCATCTTCAAGGTTGCCTTATTCCTTCTTTTTTTCTTCTTAACCATGCCGACAGCTGAAAATCGCCAAGATAAAGATGTTCAAGTAATTATTTTAAATAAATATTTGCCATTATATATACAAGGTGTTATTTATAAAGTGAAAAAATATTTGTGTTGAAGAGACAATGAGAGTTATGGTGTTTTTATGCAGCAATAAACATTTAAAGGTCGTTGTGTCAAAGGATTTAAAAATATGTTAATATATTGGTTTTTAATTATAATAAATATTATACTATATCACTACTGCTGACATTTAAAAACGTATTTCTTTGTAGATTACAGCAAGAAACAAGATGTCACGTACATTCTTTATAGTATGTCACAATATGTGAACGTTGTCCAAGGTTAAGATAAACGTGTACCTACCCAATTAATAATTTAAAAACTTTGTTTGAAAATTGCATCTTATTACTATGATCATAGTACAACTGTGCGTTTCAAGTATCATTCTTTCCTAGTCTATTTTGCCAGTTGTTCCTGTCTATTATCAACCATTACCAATTTGTCACGTTAATCTATCTCATATTTTTGTCTACCTCAGTATATGCCTGCCTTGATGTAGGAGGGTAGTTTTCGTTCAATGTTGACTATCCTGTCCATTTTAGCCTACCTATTTTTATAAAAGATTTACATTCCTGCCATCAGCTGTTTTTGATAATATTTGTAGATTTTAAAGTTACTTTGACCCTACGTAGATGTTGTTTTAAAGCGTTTGCACCAAGCATTCTTCTTAAAATCCATAATCCATAATTTTGCATCTCTTTTAAAAAAAGTTTCTGATTATGACCCACATGTCAGGACTAGTCAGCACTAGAAAAATGTAGAGAATTTAATATTCATTTGGTTTATAGATTATCTCAAGCATTTGACAGGGTCAAATGGCAACACTTATCACAGATATTAAAAGAGGATGGCATAGAACAAAACACTGCATTTTGTTTATAACTGAACTATATGAACACACTACTGAAATAGTTGAACTTGGAAATTGAAAAATTCTACTCGTAAATGAATTTTATCCAGAACAAGGTATCAGACAAGAAAATATGCTATTTCTTTAATTATTTAATATATAGGGGAGCGTATCATCATGAGAAAAGAGCTTGAAGAATGGAAAAAGAACATCTCAATAAATGGCCTAAAAATAAAAAACTTACGTTTTGCAGACGACGCAGCCCTTATTGCAAATAGTCAAGAAGAGTTAATTGATCTCATATGATAGGTTCAAAACAAAAGTCACATCTTGGGCCTGCAGTAAAACATATCAAAGACAAAGATGATGATAGTGGATAGACTACATAATAATCATCCACGCATAACCTCGATTGACCGGTTTGAGGTTATAGCTCATATTTATATCTGGGATCATTGATCACAAACACAGGGTCCAAGA